CGACGATCACGACGACGACGACAAACTCTCTCTCTCTCTTTCTTTCTCTCTCTCTCTCTCACTCTCCCTCAATCATCATTATTATTATTATTATTTAAAGAAAAAGAAAACAATAAAAGTCAGATTTCGATGACACGTTTAAAAAAAAAAAAAAAAAGAAGGAAAATATTTGTGGTAAAAATTAATTGCATAATTTTTTACGGTCGAAAAACACCTGGTTCGCCATTTTGTTTTTTTTTTTCCTTATTCCCCTTGTTTAATGAGTAAAAAGTTATTAAAAATTTTATTTATTAACTCATGAATTCATTTACAAACAAAAACAAAAAATTTATTATTATTATCATCATCATCATCATCATTATTATTATTAATAATAATAAATTATTACACGGCGAGTTAAGAAAGAAAAAAAAAAAAAATTTTTTTTTTTTTTCTTTCTGTTACGGAACGTTAAATAATCCGTGTGATTTGTATATCCGTCGATAATAAAATCAATAAAATTTTTTATTTAATGGTTTTATTACCTGGTAATACCGCCACCACCGCCGCCATTACAACCACCACCGCCACCATCACCGCCGCCGATCACCATCTCACCGACGACACGTTTCAACTTCTCGTATCCGTTCAATTATTTTAAAACGTTCGACCTTTTAAATTTAAAAAACGCGCGCATTTTCCCTTGACATCACCTTCCTTCCCCCCACTACTACCCGCATAATATATTAACCATTTCCGGTTATGATAACGCATTTATGATAAGGAGAAAAAGATTTTGTTGACAATAAACGTGTCGATAAAAGTGTAAAAATAAAATAAAATAAATAAATTAATTAATAATCATTATTATTTTTTATTTATTTATTTATTTATTTATATATATTTATTTATTTATTTATATTTATTGACAAATAATAAATTACATTAATAATAATAATAATAATAATAATAATATGGAACACTTATTAATTATACACAAATAAAAATAAAAAAAAAATTGAACAGGTTTATTATTTATTATACAGGTGGTTTATTTATTTATTTATTAACTTATTAACTTATGTATGTGTGTGTGTGTGTGCGTGTGTGCGAACGTGAACGTGTGTGTGTGCGTGTGGTGGGCCTTATCAAAAAAATGCGTTATTATCTCACGATTAAACGGCCGATTTTTCTCCTGCCACTTTTTCTACCACCGTCGCTTTTTTTTTTTTTTTTTTTAAATGAAAATTCGTCGTGGAAAAAGAAAAATAAGGAAAAAGGAGATGGATGTAAATCGATTTTTTTTTTTTTTAAAACAGGAAGTGACGACAAATTTAATAAAAATAAAAGGATTTTTTTAAATCATGATAATGATGATAATGATAATAACGATAAAAAAAAAGTTTAAATCGTATTAAGAACTCGTAAAAAAAAAATAATAATAATGATAATAATAATATTTGTGGCGATCGCGTTAAAAAGGTAAATAATTTAAAAAAAATTATTGTAAATCCCGTGTGTGCGTGCGTGCGTGCGTGCGCGGTTACGATCAGATAGATAGACTATAAGGGGGGCGGCTTCTTTTGATGTTCATTTCAAACTTTTAAATTGGTTATATAAGTTAAACGAGTTTAAAAAACTATTGCCATAGCGAATTATAGCGCGGGAACCAAGTCTTGCAAAAAGGTAAGACTAATAAATTTCTTTCTTTTTTTTTTTTTTTTTTTTGATATGCATCGTTTTCTCTCTCTCTCTCTTTCCATTTTATTTTCGTCCGATCCGATAAAAATTAAAATCGTAAAAATGAGAGAGAGAAAGAAAGAGAGAGAGAGAGAGAGAGATGTAAAAGCAAACGGTTTTCTTCGTGGCATAAAAATTTCTCTCGCATTTTTTATTTATTTTTATTATTATGATATATTGCACTTTTTGTCGAATTGATTATTCGGTTATTTTACATTCTTTATAGCGCTATATAAATAAAATCATACGAAAACTTTCCCCCCACCCGCCCCTTCGCCCCTCTGCTCCCCGCCGTCCAAAAAAAAAAAAAAATAATTATTAACAATTAAAAATTAAAATTTTTTTGGATATTCAACAAACCGGCCGATAATAATAATAATAATAATTTAACAACAATTATATAGCTCGATATAGTAAGAACTATATAAATATTTTATAATTGTAGGAATCCCTATCCCTCCCCCCGTCCCCGTCCTCGTCCTCTGGTTTCTTTTATAAACAAAATGGCTGCCGCCTTAATTTTTTACAATAACCGAGTTTTTTTTGTTGTTGTTGTTGATATTTTGCCTTGAGTTAAAGAGTTTTTTTTTTGTCCAAAGTTGTTGTTCGTAAACTTGATTTAAAAAATTTTTTTTTTTTTTACTTTGGTTGGCAATCCTGTCTGCATAGAATAATCTTCTTAATAGTATTTTTTTTTTTTTTTCTTTTCTTTACTTTTGTTTGTTTTCCTGTTGTTAAAGAGACTAGTTTTTTTTTTTTTTTTTAATAAAAAGAAAAGAAATTTATATATATTTTTTAAAGCTATTTGTGGGCGTTCGGAATAGCAGAAGAAAAAAATTAATGACGGTTTTCTAATGCCACGTCTTTCCTATTTTCCAATCCTTCGCCGCCATTTAAATCAATGAGTTAAAATGAGTTTTCGAACTCAATATCGAGTCATCCAACGTGCAAGCGTAATTTTTTTTACTTTTCTGGCGACACGACAGGAATGACAATGTTAGGAATGCCACCGCCGCCGCCACCACCGCCACTTCCGCTCCCGCAAGTTTTCTCATCGTCCGAATGACTTGGTACGTTTTTCTTTTTCAATATTCCGAGATCTTGCACGTTTTCCAAAAATGATTTGTGAGCCGTGAGTATTTTCGCGGATTCCACGTCTTTTTTCAATTCTTCCATGTCTCTTTTTAATTTTGCTCGACGATTCTGAAACCACGTTATGACCTGAGCGTTTGACAAACCCAATGCGCCCGCTATTTCGTCTCTATCCGCGGGCGATAAATATTTCTGATAGAGGAACCTTTTTTCCAATTCGAATATCTGATGATTCGTAAATGCCGTCCTTGATTTTCTCTTCTTCTTTGGTTGTTGCCGATTGTTGAACAGGTGAAGATGATTCGCTTGACCGTCTGCAATCAACATGAAAAAACGATTCTATTAATAATAATAATAATAATAATCACGTAACAAAAAAAAAAAAAATTGTGTGAACCGATTCAAAGGATCATATATCACGACAAAATGGGGGCGCACAACGTTTTGTGAGGGAGAATGTGTGTGCGCGTGCGCGGTCCGTGTATTTGTGTTAAAATTGACAGGTACGAAACACCTACTTACAAAAAAAAAATTTTCTTTTTTTTTATAAACAATTTTTCAAATTGAAAAAAAAAATGTTTTGGTCATAATCACCGGTTGTCGGACATTATTTGCAATTTAATTCGGACCTACCGCAATTTCAATACAACACAATAACTTAACTATTATATACCACCTCCGCAACCGCCACTACCACCACCGCCACCGCCACCGTCGCCACCACTTCCGGTTATATATATATATATATATATATATATATATATATATATATATATATATTAGAAATAATTTTCTCACGATGTTAACAACAAATTGATTGAACTTAATTGAGTTTTTATATTTATTAAACGATGCGAACGTAATTTATTTCTCTCTCTCTCTCTCTCTCTTTTTCTCTCTCAAGAAAACGTTACGTAACAACCACAGTAATAATAATAATAATAATTACGGTAAGTTTTTAAATTTATTTTTCGCACGCACTCACGCACCTCAAATAATTTGTAAAAATATATACGAAGGTGAATCAATCGTTTTTGTTGGGATTTAAGAGAGAATTTTTAAAAAAAAAAAGGTGAAAGAAAAAAGAGAAATGTGCGTGTGCGTGCGTATTAAAAGAAGAGAAAGAGAGAGAGAGGGAGAGAGAGAAAAAAAAACAAAACATCAATTAGTTACGGCCCTGTATGTCGGCAAATGTAAAAGGAAAAGAAGAGGCGAGAATCATGGTTTGGCCACCCATAGCGGCTTTATAAATTACAACAAAATTAGTCCAACACTTTAAAAGAAAATAAGATATTATAAGGTTGTCTGTTACCTGGAAAATAATAATAATAATAATATAATTTTTTTAAAATATATATATTTATTATACGTTTTCGAAAGGTAAACATGAGCGTAAATTTTTATTTTTTATTTTTATTTCTTTTTTATCCAGCCCGGGTTTTCAATGCCAAAAATAAAAAAAAAACCAGTTGAATCTTATGTATAATATAATATAATAAGAAACAACATTTTTCAGGGTTTGAAGAATTACTTTCCGATGGAGAAATTCAATCGTATGAATTAATAATAATAATAATAATGATAATAATAATGGTAGCCCGAATGGAGAGAGAGAGGCAGAGAGAGAGAGAGAAAATTATTTTTATTGCCAACTTTTTTCCTTTTCTTTTCTGGAAGAAAAAAATTTTTAAAAAAAATGTCACTCGAAATATTTTCTCCAGCATTGCCAACAAAACAAAAACGTATATAATAAAATTTTGGAGAAAGACGGTTGGAGGGAGAGAGGGATGAGGGGGGGGTAGAAAGCGGAAGTCGAAGGGAAAAAGGAAGTAAATGATTTTGTGACTGCTTTAAAAAAAAAATAATAATAATTTTAGAGTTTAAAATTTTCGGTCTTCTTTTTTTGATAAAAAGAAATATTCGAACGTTCGATGGGGAGACGTTTGGGAGTTGGGGGAAGGGTTGGAAAGGGGAGTGGAAAGGGGTGAGAAGGGAGAGGGGAGCGTTTTAAAAAAGAACATCAACGTGAAAAAACTCATCGGATGGTTAAGACATTGCGTAAATTGGATTACGTTGAACGAGTGGTCTCGACGACTTCTTTTAATATTTTTCCTTTTCCAGGAGTTCCGGTCGACCTGGAAAATTTTTTTTTTTTTTGCACTTTAACGCGCGTTCGATTTCCCTTTTTTCGAATTCTGCGTTTCTTTTTTTTTATATACGTAATAATTAATAACCGATTTTCATTATCATCGTTGGAAAATTTTTTTCCTTTTTCTCTTTCTCTCTCTGTCTCCCCTTCATCATCATCATCATCGTTTCGATTCGAAAATAAAAAAAAAACAATTCAATGGAAACGCATGAGACGTAATAATAATAATAATAATAATAATAATAATTTTTAAAAAAATATGATTTGATTTCAGAAAAAAAAAAATTTTTTTTTTTTTGTCGGATTCGATTTGGATCGTTAAGTGTGCGACAAACTCAAATCGGTTCCCTTTGTTCAGAATATCATTAAGAAATCAGGGCCGAATTCGAGAAGTGAGAGAGAGAGATAGATAGATGAGATTACATTTAATTTTTCCTCTTTACTATTATCAAAAAAAAAAAAAAAATGATAACGACGATTATATACATCACGTCTTGAGAATTAATTCATTTAAAAAAAATTACGTTTAAATAATAATAATAAATTTGATTCGTTAATGGGTTTCGCGGTGCCATTTTGAAATTCCTAACCTTCGGGCAAAAATTTCAGGTACTCATAAAGTTCAATAAATTGATGATGGCATTATGACGATGGCAATCGAGGTAAAAAAAAAAAAAAAAACCAGAAACCATTAAAATAAATTTTTCGGTCGTCGCCGAAAAAAAAAAAATCCCGAGATTTTTGTCTTATTTTGTTTTTTTTCTAAATTATTATTATTATTATTAACCGGAAGCTAAAAAGACGTTTTAAATTTTTTTTTTTTAATTTTCGGTACCGAACGCGAAAATCAAACGCCCCAACATTATTATTAATTGAGGAAAAAAAAGAAATTAATAAAAAAATTTTTTTTCGTCATTTCCGGCCTTAAGATATGAAAACATTTCTTATTATGACTTTTGATCACGTGATAATCAAAAAAAAAAAAAAAAAAGGAAAAAAAGAAAAAGAAAAATGACAGACGCAATTTTTGTAAAAAGAAAAAATTCTTCTCGTCAAGAATGAAAACGAGAAAGAGAGAGAGAGAGAGAGAGAGAGAAGGAATAAATCGGAATTTTGGTAATTTAAAAGAGAATAATTAGGAGGATCGTCTTTAAATTCCGTTTAGAAAAAAAGAGAGAGAGAGAGAGGGATAAGTCAGTAACGTAAAAAGTAAAAAATAAAAACGTATTATAAATAAAATTTATATAAAAACTTTATTACGGCACTGATATACCAACACCGGACGGTGTCGGCTCTTGGCAAAGGAACGTAGGTAGGCTAAATACCAACCGACAACTTCTTAAAGGCGTGAAGAATCTGTACCGACAAACACTTAACCTGAATCTTTTGTTGTTGTTGTTGTTGTTGGTGTCGGTCGAGGGAATCCCCTACTAGCAAAATAACGTTCGTTAAATAATAAAAAACTCGACGAATTTTTCTTTTTTTCTTTCTTTCATTTTTTTAATGAAATTTTTATTATTATTATTATTTTTTTTAATCACGACATTCCCTCCCCTTCTTCCCTCCCCCCTTCCTTCCTTTTTTTTTTTTAATAAACGTGGCATTAGTCGCCACGTATTTTGCGAACGCTTTTTCCCCGCCGATCTGAAATTTTTTCGACGATCCCAAAATTTTTTATTAACGACGTAAAAACGTTTGAAAATTATTATCATCATCATCATCATCATTATCATCATCGTTAATAGTAAATCGTTTGATATTTTAATGTTGTTGTAACAAAAGATAAATTAAAATAAAAATTGCTAAAGTAAATGCCATTTTTAAAATAAAACCATCAAACCGTCAAAAAAAAAGGTCGAGATCAACGTGTCGTAATAATAATAATAATAATAATAATAGTAACGATGATGATGATGATGATAAAACTTGCGGTCTAAATTAAATTCCGCCATCATCGTAAACAACGTTTCGACTAATCCAAATAATTATTTAAACACGTCGTTTATTATCATTAACGTCAACGTCGACATATGATAACGCGCGACAATCATCAAAGTGCGACACAAAATTAAATAAAAAATTTTTCATTCACGTTCGCGCGACGATGCGTATGCGTACTAGCGTCGACGAAACGTTAATTATTATTAATAATAATAATGAAAACGATAAAATTCGTGCGTGCGTATGGGTTTGTGTGTCGCACAAACACACACACACGAAACGGATACGTCGCGTTTTCACAAAAAAAAAATTTTTTTTGTCGAATGTTCTCGTGGTAATTAATAGTTGTAAATCTAATCGTACGAAATGAAGGTAGGGAGGGAGGAAGGGTGGGTAGGGTAGGGTAGGAATGGGGGGTTGTCGATATCAAATTAACCCCGAAAATCGTGCACGTCGAATTTCGACACAAAATCAAACAATTAGAATTATTTTCTCTTATTGTCTTTTTTTTTTAATGGCGACGGTTTTTGAAAATGAAACCTTCGGGCTAATAAAAGACCACGTGACTCATACATATACAAAAACGTTCCCAAGGAATATTTTTTTTTTTTCGGTCTCGTCACGCCGCGGAACCTTCCGCCACGTGAAAACATCAAAACGGTTCAATCGTGTCGAGTCAATTTCGCAGCCGTGTCACATTCATTCTCTCTCTCACTCTCTTTCGTTTTCTATCTGTCTATTTCTCTCTCTCTCTCTCCTTTCATTTCTGACGATTTAATTAAGTTTTCGCTTTGGAGGTAGAAAAAAAAAGAAAACGCGAACGCGGCGTATAACGATTACAAGAGACCTTAAATACCTCCTCTTAACCCTTCTCACGAGCTCGTTGATAATTTTTGTTATTGTCGTGGCAGCAATATAAAAATTTTTCATCTCTTTGGGTTGTACACGTTACCATTCTGCCACAACGTATTTGTTTGTTCCGACGATTCGGAATTGAAAAAAATCGGGGAAAATGAAAAAAATACAACCAAAGTACATATGATAAAATAACACTCGCGCGCCCGTTTGTTTAATCGCCGTGCGTTTTTTTTTTTTTATGTTGGCAATAGTGAAAGTCAGGGTGATGTCTGACGACACGATAACTAATTAAAATATAATTAACTTAACAGGTTTAAAAAGGGAGTAATTATAACGTGGCATGTCGGAGTCGCGAATGAAAAAAAAACGCTTGTAAAAA